CCATCCATCCATCCATCCATCCATCCATCCATCCATCCATCCATCCATCCATCAGGAGTATGGGGATCCAGGAGTTGCTCTCACCATCAGCACGGAGGTCCGGACCGCCTCAGACACGCTCTGCCGCAGCTCCGCCGCGGTGCCCGGCTTGTTCAGCCCCCGGGTGAACTTCCTCGGCTCGGGAGGAGCAGAAGCCATCGCCCCGGCTCCGGTCCGCCTCTCATCTGACACYCAGGTTCCGAGGAAAGTTCTGTCCGCTGTGGCGCGTCTGGATCCGGTCCCTGTCTGCCCGGGTGGTCCCACACTGCTGCGGTCTCTTTCTGCTCCTCTGTTTGGTTAAACTTGAAAAACTAGTCCGGTCACGATGGACGCACATTCCCTCTCAGTCGAACAGAACCGAGCAGCACCACTCGGACCCTGAGTTCTGACCCAGCAGCGGAGGAGAACCCCTCAGAACCAGACACGCCTCCGCTTCACGGTGTCATCAGGTCCAACTCAAGTCTAGACTTCTGCATTAGTTTTACTAGCTAACAGTGCTAATTAGCATTGTTAGCTTATACTGGATTAATACACCACTTAGCAACTATTAGCTCTGTTTTTGTTTATAAAACTGGAGCAGAAATACTTYATTAAAAGTTATATAACTAGAAGTTAAATGCAGCATTTATCACAGAGTAACACCGCCTCCTCCTGGAGTTTGACTCTATTTACTACCTCTGTTCACTCACGTTGTTTGCGCTTCCTTCTTCGGACACAYGGTGGCGGGATCATCACACTAATACCCACAATACCTGATGGTGAAAGAGTGGACATAAAGGCCAAAATTAACCTGAAGACGACTAAAATGAACAGAACACAAACTGAAAGAAGTAGATCAAGTGGCTAAAAGTTAAACGAAGCAGAAAATAAGATACAATTAGCAAAACTGATGCTGAAAGTAGCAAAACTGTGGCTAAATAACCAGATTGTATAAGTCAAGATGAGCCAAATGTTAGCAAAACATCAAAAAGAAAAAAATAGTATAGGTCTTCTGGACTGGTTCTTTAATGAAACGTTTTGTCTCTCCTCCAAGAGACTTCTTCAGTCTGAGAGTTTCAGGCAAAATTCAGGCTTTTAAGCACTGCCTCCATGTGACTGATACTCACATCACATGGCTATCGTTGACACCTAATTAACACCTATTGTTAACAGGGGGTGGAATGATACTGGCAATAGGTGGCGGAGTATAGGTGTATAAGACCTATACAATTTTTTTTCTTTTTGATGTTTTGCTAAGTTATTGCCAGTATCAATCCACCCCCTGTTAACAATAGGTGTTAATTAGGTGTCAACGAAAGCCATGTGATGTATCAGTCACATGGAGGCAGTGCTTAAAAGCCTGAATTTTGCCTGAAACTCTCAGACTGAAGAAGTCTCTTGGAGGGGAGACGAAACGTTTCATTAAAGAACCCGTCCAGAAGACCTATACAAACTTTTTTCTTTTTGATTTTTTTACCTGGATTACTGAGATGCATCAGGACATTAGCAAAACGTATTCTACAGTTAATGACAACATATCAATAAACTAAAATAAAAATGTAAAGCTTAAATAAAAAAAATCAAATGTTAAAGCTAAAAATGCTAAATGTATGCTAAAGCAAAACATCTAAATACATCAAAACAGTAGCTAAAATTAAGCTGAAAAAATATCTAATATCGCTAAAGCTAAAATTAGCAAGAATAAGGCTAAAAATGGCAAAACGGATGCTAACAATTCAGTAGCTAAAATGAAATATTTAAATATTTAGCTTTTAAAATGAGACAGTGAAATGAAACAGTAGGCTATGGTTAAAAGCTGCAGAACAAGCATAAAAGCAGCAAATCACATGTTAAAGCTGAAACTAACAAAACAGTAGCTAAATGCAGCAAAACAGGCTAAAACAMGATGCAGCAAGAAAAATGCTRAAGCTAAAATTAACAAAACATACGTTAAAAGTACATATGAGGAGCAAAACAAATGCTAAATATCTGAAAACAGAAACTAAAAGTAGCAAAAGACCTTAAAGCAGTAAAACACGTGCTAAAGGCAAATCTAAAAGAAACAGTAGCAAAGTAGCAAAACAGAACCTGAAATTAATATAGTTTCAATTCAATTAAATTCAAATTCAAAAATACTTTATTGATCCCAGAGGGAAATTAGGTGTTGTTGTAACTCATTTAACTAAAAACTTATTGTAGATGCTGATGGCTGTGGGCAGGAAAGATCTTCTGGTCTGTATTACAGTGAAACTGAAGAAGGCTCTGACTGAAGATACTGTTTTTCTATGACAGTCTGATGAAGAGGATGGTCAGGGTTGTCCACA